CAAGTATACCAGCTCCTCAGTATGGGCAACCTTAAAGTAGACATTCCACATTTGTTTACAAGAATCCGGTACCCCAGTGATTTGCAAGTTAGCTGAGTTAGACTTTGTTCTTTCTCATTTTGTAGCCTTCCTTCCCTGCCCAGTCCACGCACCTTCCTCTTCCCCACAGCTCACAGGCAGCTTCCTGCTTGCGTCCTCCTCCCTTTTGCAGCCCCTTCTCCCTTTACCATACCTGATGGTCTCCTCCTCACCATCATACTTCTGGTAGCCACCTCTTTCCATTCACACCTCTTGCAGCTGCCTCCTCTTCCTCCCCCTTGTATGTCTTTCAGCCTTCTACCCCTAAAACCCCTCATGGCCTCCTTTCTAACCCCACAGCTGTCTCACAGAATCCTTCCCCATTATCCCCAAAAAACTACCTAACCCTCCTCCAACTCTCCTAAATCTCTTCTCCTCCTGCCCTGCCCTGGCCAACACCATTGCCCTGGCCAGTGGCAGCTCTTAGTTGCACTCCAGCCTCATGAGATTGTTGACAAAGCTGCACTCAACCAGACAGACAGGAAGTTTCCCGTCACTCTGATGATTTGTGTATTATAGATTGCGGACAGGCTTTGGCGAGTTAGAGGTGAGTTAATGACCACAGGGTTCCGAGCTGCTCTTGTAGCCATAGTACTTCTGTTTCTTGTCAATGGTATTCCAAGAATGTTGATAATGGAGGATTCAGTGATGGTAATTCTGTTGAATGTAAAGGGACAGTGGTTAGATTTTCTCTTTTTGGAGACAGTCGTTAGCTGGCAGTTTTGTGGCATAAATATTACTAGTATCTTTATTTAGTTTCTACTATTAATGTGGTTGCTTCAGTTCTCCAGTGCTTTTCTGAGATTTGCAGGTTTTGATGCAGCGTGTTGGGGTTTATCGATTGCAGAGAAAGTTGATTTCAACTGCTTTTGGGTTCACTTGGAGATGTTGGCAAAAAATCCATCAATTACTTTCTTTGGATAATACATGACTTATTTAATATAGGTTCTTAATGTGGGAAATTGCTGGTTAGCTTCTTTCTATCTCCAATAATTGGTTTGATTTTTGATTTAGTTACTGTGTGTGCTAATTCATTAAGCTATGTTTTATTCACTGTAGAAAATGCAAACTGACAGTCATAATGCCTCAAGTAGGATTATTACTAAAAAAATGACACTGCTGAAACAGTAACAAGGTAACAGTGTCCCCTCATGCAGCATGATCCTGGCCCACATCTTTAAATCTGATTATAATTCTTTGTATAAACCCTATTAGCACCTTCCACTGCTAAATATACAGGGTGCAGAGCTGGATGAACACAGCAAGCCAAGCAGCATCAGAGGAGCAGGAAGGCTGACGTTTCGGGCCTAGACCCTTCTGCAGAAAATGATTTTCTGCACCTTGTTATCTCAGATTCTCCAGCATCTGCAGTTTCTGCTATCTCTAAATATACAGGGTGTTGAGTTATATTAGTTCAAAGGGACTGACAAGTGGATTTATGGCCTCTTCCAGATAGCAGGGTGTTGGAAGTAGACAACTGCAGAGCTATGACAACATTTCTGATGAAGGGTCTAGGCCGGAAACGTCAGCTTTTATGCTCCTATGATGCTGCTTGGCCTGCTGTGTTCATCCAGCTCTGCACCTTGTTGTCTCGGATTCTCCAGCATCTGCAGTTCCTACTATCTCCAACTGCAGAGCTATAGTGGAATACCAGCATTTCCTAGCTGCTTTCAGTTCTGACAAGGGTGGACTTAAAACATTAAGTCTGTTTTCCTGTCCACAGATGCTGCCGGATCTGCTGAGTTTCTCCAGCACTTTCCATTCTTATTTTAGATCTCCATGGTACTACTGAAACTCAGTTGTTTGCTACTCCATTTGCATTAATTTAATTAAACCGATCTGCAACATCACAAACATATTGTTCAAAGATTTGAATTTTAAATCTCAGTGTAGTGTAAAGTTTAGCATTTGTATTATATTATGTCAGACACAATTGCAAAACTGGAAAAAAAGCAAAATGACCTGGTTTTTCACAGAGTTTGGCTGACTTTGGAGCCATTTAAAAATGATGGCCCAATTCAGGGACTATCTTTCAATACCCACTGAAGGTATTTTCACCAATGCAAGATCAACGTGCAGGTGCTGAGCATCCTGCATTTCAACCTGGTCAATTCCATTCAGATAGCTACCTCCTAGCCCCCTGCAATTTTTGTGGAATTGGACCAGATTCTCCATGACCATGGTTCATGATTCCTTAGTGGAGTTGTGAACTACAGTATGGATTGAAGATTCTTTTGAAAGGGAATTTGAATAGATCTTATCCATGTAGTTCATGACTTCATAGCAATTATGTGGTTCACATGCCCTCTTCATTGTCCCCATGACAATTCCATGGTATTCATTCTCTCCGTGCCACCTCTATGGCCTCTATATCCCCTTCCATGCCTATTCACTCAGAATGCACTCTGGACAGAACCGTTGCACAACATGAAAATGGTTAGTGTTAAAATGTTGAGAAAGAAAAACACGAAAAAATTTTCTTTGGAAAAATCTGCTGTTCTTACAACCTCATGTGTTTATCAGGCAAAGTAATTATTGTATTAATAACAGAAGCTTTAATCACTTCACAATCCTTAAACTTGTCCAAATAACATTAAAATAACATATTCTAACTATATAAAATCTCAATCGAGCAAAGTAAACACCCTGTTCAGCTGAGCTAACAAGTTTGAAAATTTTGGAGCTCAGACAAGCATTCATAATGAGGCCATTGGGAACTGTTTCAATGGAAACAACAATTGCACAGGTGCAGTACAGGAGCTCAAATGGAAAACCCAGATGCCAGACCATCTTTTTCTCAAGCAGCTAAGATTTTATATACTCAATCTAAATCACCAAATCTTCTGCCTTATTGTTTTCAAATAAGCAATTATCAAAGAAAATACTTACTTTAGACAGAGAAACATTCCACCTTCAATCAGATATTGTTAATTAACTTAAGTGATGAAGCTTCTGTTGAACAAGGCAGGGTTACACATAAGTGGAGATGAGGAATGCCTAAGAAAATATTGCTTGGATGAAAATAGTGTTTCTGTTTCTGTTTCTTCTGAAACTCTTTAATCGGGGATCCTGCATCCCCCATCCTACCTAAAATGAACATTGATCTTATAATCTTAACTAGCATCTTTATGAATTAGTGAAGGACTGTTATATTGTTGAAGGTACATTCTTCCAGGTGAATTTTTTAAATTAAAGCTTTTGTTAAATATTTCTTAAGCAGCATGAGCGTGAAATATCCCACAGGACTGTTCATCGATTTCCTTGCTGTTTATGGGACTTCACTGTCAAGTTTGTCGGCATTCAGCAATTATTTACCATCAAAGTAATTCTTCATTATGAAGTATAACACAGTGTGGAGCTGGAGGAACACAGCAGGCCAGGCAGCATCAGAGGTACAGGAAAGCTAACGTTTCGGATCAGGATCCTTCTTCAGAAATGGGGAAGGGGTAGGGGGCTCTGAATTAAATAGAGAGAGGAGGGGTGGGGCTTGGGAAGGTAGGTGGGGTGGTGATAGATGAGTGCAGGTAGGCAATGGTAGGGGTTGGTCAGTGAGGTGGGAGGAGCAGATAGGTGGGAGAGAAGACAGACAGGCCAGGGAGGCGGGGATGAGAGGGAGGGTTGGTCTTGGGATGAGATCAGGGATGGGGAGATTTTGAAGCTAGTAAAGTCCACATTGAGACCATTTGGTTGTAGGCTCCCAAGGCGGAATATGAGGTGCTGCTCCTACAGTTTCCGGGTGGCGTCGTTGTGACCCTGGAGGAGGCCCAGGATGGACATGTCGTCCAGGGAATGGGAGGGGGAGTTGAAGTGGTTCGCGACTGGGAGGTGTTATCGTTTGTCGCGAACCAAGAGCAGGTGTTCTACAAAGCGGTCTCTAAGCCTCCGCCTGGTCTCACCGATGTAGGGGAGGCCACATCGGGAGCAGTAGACCACATTAGCAGATGGGCAGGTGAACATCTGTCTGATGTGGAATGTTTTTTGGGGCCTGGGATGAAGGTGATGGGGGAGGTATAGGGGCAGGTGTAGCACTTCCTGCGGTTGCAGGGAAAGGTGCCAGGGATGGTGGGGCTACTGAGGAGTATGGAACGGACGAGGGAGTCGTGGAGAGAGCGGTCCATCCAGAAGGCAGATAGGGGTGGGGAGGGAAATATATCCTTGGTTGTGGGGTCAGATTGCAGGTGGTGGAAGTGGCAGAGAATGATGCGTTGAATCTGGAGGTTAGTGGGGTGATTCGTGTTTGGTTAGTCATCAAGGATGTCCCAATGCAAATCCTGCCTTTGTATTATATCTTTGTTCATCGTACAACTTTAGCTTACAATGAACAACGTCACTTGAGATCTTTGAGAATGTTAATGAAGTAGTTATGTTGTCTCAGAGAGTTGGTACTAAAATTGAGTGTTTCATTTTAGTTTGAACATCTTTACTATTACTAGAGTTTGAGTAGTATGAATAATTGCTAAATTAGAAATATATTTACACATCTATAATGGTTAATAGTTTTAATGACCTCCCGTCTGCTTTTGAAATGGGCCACAAACCTTGTTTGGAAAGCACACATATACATGAAAATTAGGTGGTTTTATATTTCATTTGCCCCTACCCAGCAACTCACATGCTCAAGTCTCAGATCTGCTTGAAGCTCAAGATTTGTGATCTCACTTTATCAGTTCTCAAAAAAAATTTCAGTGCCATCATCAACATCAGGAAGATAAGAAGAAAACTTATCAGACCTATTTTTATCTTCAGTTTATCTGTTTATGATGTCTTGAAGCATATTGTCAATATTGTTGCATTCTCCTCTTACTGGGAGGATAAACAATGTTAGATGGTTCGGATCTGGAGCAACCTGAAAGAAGAAAGCAAATCTTTATAATTTGATGTGTAAGTTGTTATTTGCTCACATTTTTATAACCAATCTAAAGTTTTACCAGCAGAATGTGGTGACAGGGAATTCAGAGAAGTTGTGTCAAGACTAAAGGACTGGTTCAAAGTGCTCCATGAAAATGGAAATCGCAACAAAAAGACTCATGGACTTCAGAGACAAGACAAGGACAGAATTAGTAAGTGTTTTATTTTACTCGTTGAATGTTCACTTTTCTCAAACTGGGAAATAAAACTACGATAATTAGAAATATGGCACTTTCCACAATGCCAGGTGAACGTTTTATTTTTGAACAAATTAACTCTTCAAAGTATCCTCCTTCTCCAACTAGTTAATACTACGATAATTTGCATTTGTGAAACTGATGCAGACAAACTCACACAAGCATATTCTTTAGGCTATTTGATAGTTAATTTTTGGGCATGTATGTCAAGCTCAGGCTCCCATTCCCCAGTTGTTGTCATCTTTCCCCAAGTCACCAATCTCCATCTTTCCTATATGTCCTGTAAAGACCGTATCCTTTTATTTCTCTGTATTTTTGTTTGAAATGAGAAAAGAATGGTTTCAAACACCAAGGATTGTGGAAAGGATCACTGAACTTTTTAAAAGTGGGTTACTGCACTCATTGTAAGTGTTGTTTGTTCAAGCATTGGAGAAGCTTTAGCTGTAGATGAACTGGAACCAGGGAGACGCGACTGGCAACAAGTAGCTGTTTGACAGCTAGTCACCATTCCACAGAACAATGACAATAGCCTTCTTCCTACCAACAACTGTGAGATTGCACTCAGTAGCTGAACAGCTTGTGAGTATGAATATTTGGGCAGAAACCTTCAGACCTCTGGGAAGGAAGGAGCTGTCCTTTTGTCTGTAGTCAGAAATACCTCAAAAATGTCAGTTTATCTCCTCTCATAACTGATTTTGACCAATAAGTCAGAGCCTTTCTAAGTGTGAGCCAGTCTCTTTGTGCCTCCTACCACCAAGTAAAAGGGAAGGAAGATTGAAAATCAACAAATCCTGACAAGTCAAAAGGGTCATCTCAGCAAAACCTGTGGATTGGAATAATTGAACTGTCTTTGCAGTCTTTCCCTGTGCTCACAGTATCCATTTTTATTTGCGTGTGTAGGGGTAGTTTTATAAAGGGGGGAGGTAGTCAATTTTTAGCAAATAAAGCTGTATGTCAACAGTTCATCATTGTTTACATGAGACTAGGATCTATTAATTTGTAATGAATTGTATTTCTTATTAAGTATAAAAATGTGGTCCATGTTTTCTGTCACCCTGTGACTAAAAGGCAGATAAATTAGGAAATTTTGTATGCATTTATAAAATCATTAACTTTCGTGACAACTTCAGGGCTTGATTTCCAGGACACAATGCCAGTGAGGCGAGACAGTGCACATTTAAAATCTTCAACTACTAAGTGAACTATAATTCTTTTAATGAATTTCCAGATTCTCCTTTTATGTCTTGGAATTCTTTAGGAGTCGTTCTAAAGTCCTTAGTGGACATCATGCTGTCTATCAGTTGGATTGCATTCTATTGTGGCCTTTTATATCAGGCATGGCTCAGTGGTAGTACTCTCATCCACAAGTTAGAAGGTCAGGGATTCATTCCCAACTTTAGAGACTTAAATTCCTTTGTGGGGGTGCCATAAAGCCAAAGAAAGAAAAAAAGAAAGATGCCAACACAGAATAAAAGAAGCATTATTCTGGAACACAAAACTTCTGTATACTTGTAATTTTTAAAGAACACATTTTGGCACGGTAAAAATAGAAAGAAAACATTTGAAAACACAGGCATTCCAGTGACATTCTGTCTAAACTTCAGTTCCTCAAGAAAAGAATTAAGCATCAATTTATAGACCAATAGATAACTGATAAAGAAAGAGGGCTGTTAAAACTCTGCTCTGATAAAGTTCTGATGAAGGGTCTTCTAGACTCGAAACGTTGGCTTGCTCTCTCTTTCCATGGATGCTGCCTGACCCACTGTGATTTCTTACATTTTCTGTTTTCAGTTCTGTCAAAATTCTTATTGCTGTGGGAAATGAAGGATGGAAAAGAATAAATCCCCTATTATTTCGAGTGGTATCCATATGGAACCTGATAAAATTTTTCAGAGTTTAAATGGCCAAATTAAAGCCTGAGTCAACATCATAATTTGTGGTCTTGAGTTCATATCATACTACTAATCCAGGTGTACATCTTGGCCAATTTGTAGACAGATATTGATGCAAAAGGTACAGGATGTGATTTCAGTGAAACTAACAACTGCAAAGCTGGTAGAACTAGCCTTTACATTTACAACTATCAAATGCTTCAGAAAAGTACTTCTGGAGCAACCTAAATATGATACTGCTAAAAGGAGAATAAAACTCCAAATCAATTGTAGATGCTACTGACCGAATACACGTGCTTGACTCTGCAACAACTATCTAATCTTTAACAAGATCAGTAAAGTATCTAAACTTTGCATGAGATGTGTATTGTCTCATCCATCAAAACAGTGGTCAGCATTTTGTGACATATGCAAGCAAATTTGTGCAAGAAGCCCAAGTGCTTAGGAAAACTCAAGCCATTAACAAAGACTCCTGACAGCAACATCAAGTTTATTCAATATTATAATCCTCTAAGCTTCCATGTTACAAATAGATACATAACAGCAAGACCTGCAGAGCATGTCTTTCACAGGATGACAAGCCTATTGCATTTGGTTCTAAAGCCCTTGCAACAGCTCAGGTAGACTACTCCAACATAGAATGGAAAAATCTCGCTCTTATGTTTAGAATACAAATGTTCCACACATACCTAATAAGCAAGCATTTTGCTATTTATACTGATCACAAACTGTTGGAAATGATCTGTCGAAACCATCCCGCAAATGCACCTTCAAGACTACATCTACTTGTGTAGATCCAAGGATACAATTTCACAGTACAGTGCAAACTAGCCTCACAGATGACTATTCCTGGTGCGCTTAGCTGACTACCAGATCCCACTTAAAACAAATGTTCTCGAGACTTCTGTAGGTTTACATGTGGATGTTACTGAACCTAAGTTCAAAGACTATCATCACATTGATCACAGTCATTTTGGTCAGTCAGGCAGAATTGATACACCAAGCTACATTCAATAAGGTCCAGTTGGAACAGCTCAAGAAGATCATCATCAGCAAGTGGCCAAGGTGAGTTAGGAATCTCTAGAAATATGATTTTCAAAGGCAAACAAGTGGTTATTCCAAAACGTCTAGACTAAGATATGCTTGACCATATATAGACAGGTCAAATTGGCACAGAGAAAAACAAGAGATTGGCACATAAGTCTATCTATTGGCAGGAAGTGGGGTATTTATTCCATTTCCTCATCTCTTCATTATCCTTAACCTGATGGTTTTACAGAATACACAGCTCTTAACAGTGAAGTTAATAATTGCTGAATTCAAGCTGACTTGCAAAGCTCTTTAGATAACATATTAAATTTATGTACTACTCCTCAAGGCAATGGGTTGCCTTCATTGTTAGTTCTCATTGTTTGGAAGACAAATCCGCACTGCTGTTCTGTCAAACACTCTCGTCAAACAGCCATAAGTAGATGATACATTTTGGACAGAAGGGAGAAAATGATCAATTCATATGCAGAAGTTACCCCAACTTAAGCCAGAACAAAGCATAAGTGATCAAGATCTTCATTCACATACTTGGGTCCATGGAAAAATACTAGTACATTATGTCCAGCCAGGTCATTTGACATTGTCACAAACAATGGCCAGATCCAGTGGCAAAACAGATTACATATCCAAGTTGTATATGACCAATGATCCATCATACAAGACAATGACTCTAATACTGTGAGTACCACACTAGACAACTATGAGACTTCATGACACATGACATTCATCATCCACAATGACATAACCATCTCAGAGTTGAGCTACACAGCCATGTTATGATAATTGTATAAGGTCTAGATCTGGTCATATTTTGTACATCCACCAAAGTGGTTAAAGTTAGTGTATTATTGTGCATGCTTGAATATATTTGTCAAAACAGGTTTCATATTGTTCAAAGGGGAAGAAAAGGGTTGTAATTATACCTTTAAGATAGCTAAAAGACATCATGACATGTGATACTGCAGTAAAAGATTTCCTGTCCTATTCTGTTCATTCAATCAGTTATCTGTTACAAGCAGCCAGTCTGTTAATCGATCAGTCAACCAATCAGATTGTATGCAGGACAATAGTAAGCTTAGTAAGCATATAACCCAAAATTTCTATTTAAGTCTGAAATGTCATATTAGTGGAGATGATTTATTAACACACTTTCAGATATCTGGCTCAACAAGAACCCTGAGTTACATAAGCAAACATATAGAAAACCAACGGCACATCAAATGCCACTTACAATTGTGCCAAATTCAGTAAGGGCACAAATATCATTTGAATGAGCACTTTGAGATTCTCCTCAACCAAAACTTAGTCCTCAACGTGAGCGACCTTGATATCATTCCATAGCATTTTGCCATCATCTCACTCAATTCCTGCTTGACATGAGGTTGAGAAGGCCATCCAGCAGCTGGGATTCAATGTGGACACTGGCCAGATGGAATCCCATTAATGTACTAAATATGGCAGAGAAATAGTCTCTCAGCTTCCCCATTTGGAAAGAGACCACACTGGGAATTGCTGATATGTCTTAATAGTGACTGATTGCAATAAATACAAAGAAGGGTATTGTTGTGTCAATCAAGGCAAAGTCATTACAAATTAATACTCAATCACCTCTTCCCAATGGCTGAAAAATCATCCTGTAGCCGCAGCACAGATTTCATTCATTGAGGCACAATGGACCTACTCCTCACCGTAAAACAAGTCCAAAAAGACTGCAGAGATGAGCAGCGATCTCTATACAAGATTTTCTTTGGCCTTTGATTCTCTCACCTATAAGAGATTATGGAATGTCCTTTTTAAATTTGGCTGCATGCATTCGTCACCATCCTCTGCCTGCTGCACGACATTCATCTCCAATGGATCCACCACAACCCCAATACAAGTGTAAACTGAATTCAAGCAACGCTGTGACATCACATCAAAGCTGTTGTCCATTTTCTTCACCATTTATTGACTAGTCTACAGGATCAGCAGGAAACTATTCAACCTACATAGATTACAGTTCAGAAACAAAAC